AAAATTTAACGTTACATTCTAAGCAAAATTTAAAAATTAGCAATTATATCATCGCCGTAAAATTTTAAATTAACCAATGTATATTTAAGAATCAATTGTAATTCATCCAACATGTTCAATAATTTATAGCTCTACTCATCTTCAGTTTCAAAATTTTGTAATCTCACTCACAACAGATTAAGTGACTATTTAAAATTAGAGGCTAGTAGAGAGTTCTGGATCTCTTAAGTAAAGAGAATGACCGATATTTAACGTAAATTAAAATTTTGATTGCCAAAAATTGAAGTTGGGTGACAATTAAATTTTCACAAAAATTCAGTGACCAATCTTAGGACTCCACTTCACCTTAAAATGAGTCGTGCCAGTCTGATAATTAGCATAAAATTTGTTGATCCCTACCGATTTTAAATCAAATCAAATTAACACAATGAGTTTTATCAGTCGACCTCACTGAGTTTCTCATTGTCACAGAGAGGAGATCCGACAGGTTGACGAAAATTTTGGCAGATGTAGAGCGAGGGTGGCCTGACAGGTCACAAATTGGACAGAATTCAAACTACTTTTTTGCCATATTGGCAAACGAAGCATGATTATCTAGTTATGTTGTCTGTACCATTCGTCTCTAATTTATAAGATTCATTTTGCTGCTCATGTGCTATATCATCCGAGTCGTCTTCTAGTGATTCGATCATCGTGTTGTGCGGTTGAGAAAGCTCGACGTGCTGGAAATAGTCGACCAAATACACAATTCATATACTCGTGACACATGGACTTTTACCAGCTGATTTGCATTCAAAAAATCGAGGACCTCATGTCTATTCAAATTTACACCATCAATTAGGATGTCGTAGAATTTACGACCTTATGGGTACGCGTAGAACGTACATTCATCCTCAATTACCGTCATCAGTTTTATTCCAAATTACTGAGCATGCGCAAATTAAGAATACCGAATGAAAACAAAGAACTAGTCCCAATTTGTACTTATTTTCAGGGCTTTCATGTCATTCCTAGGTTGTCCTCAATTGCTTGTGAAAGAAATGCTTCAGGACTGAATCCAAGATCAAACTAAAAAAAATTTCAAGCCGACTAAATGAAATAATAAAATAAAATTATAGTTTTACATTAAAAAAAAAAAAAAATTAGACCTAAAAATCTAAATGGGTTGAGGACTGGACTGGGCTATAGTCCGGCCCAGTCCCCCTACATCCACCCATGGTCATACCTGTTAAACAAGAACTATGCACTATTGCCAATTCATCCTCTACATCACTTCAAATGATATCTGCATCTAAACAGGCAACTTGTTGAAATTAAATTCAAATGAAAGTACTCATTGGTGTGTGAGTATAAAGATTTTTAATTTCCACAGTAGTGAAATCCCCAATGTAATGATATTAATGTGTAGATAACAAGGACACCAAAAACAACTAGAACATTCGCTACGTCGACGTGCACCTGCTTCGAGAAATTATGATATCCCAAAATTACATTACCCTAGTAGCTAGTGGCGAATTCAAGAATCTGATTGAGCCAGGGGGCCGTTGACTACTGAACGTCAACCATCGCAATAGCGAAATTGTTTATTGGCGATGCTTATTTTAAATTGTGACTGTGATTAGCAAGGTGTTCTACTTATATCCCATATGTTTATATTATCTCTTGTCCGGTACGAGATTGTCAAACAAACACGGGAATTCCTACAACAACAAATATTTTCTTATCATTTACCATAACTCAGAAATGAATAAGTAGAATGATCCACAACAGACTTTCTATCCATAAAACATTCAATTTGATAATCAATTTCAAATCAAAACTAAGGAGAATAAAATTAGATAGAAATTTCTACGCATACAAGGAAGATGCATAACGGATCTCTGATTTGCCATTGACTGGGGAAATTTGACAAGGGAACTATTTACTATAATACTTTAACCATATTTGCCAAGACAAAAATGTCATTGCCACATAGGCAAATATAGTGATTGCAACGGGACGGGCTCGGGGCGCAGGCCTACCCCGTTTCTTGCCCCATTTGTTAGTTTTTTTTTTTTTTTCAATTAAAATACAAATTCAAAATTTTAAAATTCAAAGCAAATAATATTCAAACTAACTAAATCAATATCGAAAGCAAGTACTCGAAACAAAAAAATCCAAAACAAATTGTTTTTTTTTTTTAAATTCTTCACAGGGCGGGTTCGGGGCTGGGCATCTCCGCCCCGCCCTGCCAACCTGTTCGGGGCGGTACTCCATGGGGATGGGGTTAGGCGGGGAAAATTGCCATCTCTAAGCAAATATCCATTGAATCGAGGGAAAAGAGGTAAATCTATAGCAAAACACTAAAAATTGCCAAAAAAATAAATAAAATAAAAGAAAAAAAATGAAAATCAGCATACAGACGGGGGAGAAAAGAACTCATATTTCTAGATCTAAGTCCCACTAAACCCAAAAAGCAAAAGTGATAATTTAATGTCAAGGGCTTCCAAAAGTTTACTGAACCCAACTTGCTATAATGCATTGGTGCTATATAATCAATCTCCCTTACATCTCTTGTTTACTTTTGCTTATCCTCGAAAAAACTATTGACAACTTATTCATTATTTTAGGTCACTTCTTACAACATCATCTCAACATAGTATCATCCTCATCTTTCAGATTGTTCTCTATTTATTTTCCAATCATAACTCGTAAATGATAAATAAAAGAATGAACTAAAAGAACAAAAACCAAAAAAAAAAAAAAAGAAGACAGCTAGGAGGCTCACGAGTCATGGCGGCGATGCAGTGGGCAATGGTGGAGACTGGAGAGACACAAAGTCAGGTGGTCGATTTGTTATTTGATTTGCAATTGAATTAAGATTTGTTTTACAAACCATTAAACCTGCATCCAGTGAATTAGGCCTAATTTTTATTTAAAAAAATAAAGAAGAAGAAGTTTTTAACCTTCTAATTCAAAAATAAGATTTCAAAATTTTTTGTTCAAAATTCAGATGATAATTCATCTTTTAGAATATTAATAATAATATCGTACAACCCTAGAAATCACTTCCCAATCTCTCTTTCCCTCTCCCAGAGGCGGTCCTGAGGGTGCGCAAGTTGAGCGATCGCACAGGGCCTTATCAGTGTAGATGCACCAAATTTTTTTTTTATTTGTGTGTATATATGTATATTTATATGTTTAAAATATTTATTAATTTCGAAATTTAAAATTTAATTATTATGTTATATTAAAGGGCACAATGAAAGATACACAAATGATAATTTTTATTTAACATTATTGTATTTCTTATTCCTAATTACAAATCATATCGAGATATTTTTATTAAAGCAAGGGAAATTATTCAAATGGTTTAGGCTCCTTCATAGCTAATTTCAGTGCGTCGTATTTAACTATTTTCATTTGTGAATTATTTCTTCATGAATTGTATGCATTTGATTTTGTATGATATGCAATTGCATAAGATACTAAAACTAAGAATAAAAAATGGTTTAGGCTCCTTCATAGCTAATTTCAGTGTGTTGTGTTTAACTATTTTCATTTGTGAATTATTTATTTATTAATTGTATGCATTTGATTTGGTATGATATGCAATTGCACAAGATACTAAAACTAAGAATAATGTAATTAACTAGTTATAATTTTCTTAAATAGTATCCTACTTTAAATAACGTCAAGGAAAAAAAGAGGAAAAAGTATAATTCGTAGGAAGAAACATTTTGATGAAAATGCCACTGTAAACAACGCATGATCATTTGAATATTATTTCATAACTAATTATTTCCTTTATATAGTAGATCAAGCAATTGGATCACTTGACCGAAGGTTCGATCAATTTAATTCATATGAAAAAAATTTTGGATTTCTATTTTCTTTTGACAAGTTAAACACATTGGATGATGTTGATTTGAAAGAATGTTGTGATCATCTTGACATTTTTCTAGGACATGTAAATTTTTGTGATCTTGATGGCAAATATTTATTTCAAGAGTTAAAGATTTTGTGAAATCTTTTACCAAAAGATATAAAAACAGTTTTTGATATATTAACTTATTTGAAATACTAAAAGAAACAAAATCGGCTTTTGATATATTGACTAATTTGAAAAGATTGGATTGCTTTTCGAATAAATTTATTGTTTATAGAGTATTACTGTCAATTAATGTTATTGTTATATCTGCCGAAAGAAAATTTTCAAAATTGAAATTATTAAAATCTTATTTATTATCAATCATGTTATAAGAACGATTGAATGACTTAGTTTTGATATCAATTGAACAAGATTTGTTAGAAACGAGTGTTTAATTAATTAGTTTGCTTCTAGAAATACGAAAAAAAAAAATTTTTACGTTATTTGTTGTATTTCAAAGTTTACACTTGGTATTTGATGTTTCTTATTTCAAGGTTTTCTCATATGGAATTAAATGAAAAGTTTAGGGGCTTAGACGGTTCTTTATTGATGATATGAATTTTGATGAAATTTGGAAGGTATTTTTGAACTTTATTTGTACTTTTCTTATTCACGACATTTTAAAAAATAAACAGTATTTAAATATCATAATTTTGCGATCATATAATATTATTGAAATATTTATTTTTTAATTTCATGAAAGGGGCACCATTTTAAAATATCGCACATGGCATCCAAAATTTCAAGGTCGGTCTGCTCTCCCTCTTTTTCTCTTTTCACTCTGTACCTACACCATCCCTCCGACCCCATACCCACCCTTTATTCGACACCGGAACTAATGCCTCCCTCACTGTTGGAGCACTATTGCTCGAGGTGCCATTGATGTTGCTCGAAGCGGCCCAGCGTCGTTGCACCTGCTGCATGCAGGCGCGATGTTGCTCAGAGCGTCTTCATTCCACTTTTTCGACGGATTCTTTCCACAGGTGGTGCCGGCTCTTCGCAGTGACAGCAATCTGTGGCCCTGCATCGGAAACTCATGTATCGATGAATTGTTGGGCTATGTTGATGGTGGTGCGTCTGTTGTGGTGGGGTTGCATTTGTGGTAGTGGCAGTATGCTTGTGTTAGGTTGTTAGCATGTGTTTGTGCGGGTGGCGGTGCATCTGTGTTATGTTATTGGGCAGTGTCGGTGGTGGCACTGTTAGGCTATGTTGGTGGTGGTCGTGGCGGTGGTGAGGGCAGTTTTTGTAGATGGTTTTGTGGTGATGATGGTTTTGGTGGTGGTCACGTGGTGCGTACTGCACTCGTGATTTGGTGCTAGCAGTTTGGTGATGTTGCGATATGGCGAGATGATGGTGCCAAAGTTTGTTGTGTAGTGGTGTTGTGATTACTTTGGTGGTGGTTTTGCGTAGTTGGTGGGTTTGCCCTGATGTGGGGTGTGGTGGTTGCTGTCGTGGTGATGGTGCCCTGGTTGTCGAGAAGGTGTGGTGGTCGTGGATGGATGGGAATGGGATAGGGGTGTTTGTGATCAATAAATTGGTTGATTGTGATAGATAAATTGGTTAATTTGTGACCAATAAATAATATGTGACCTAAAAAATGTAATCATGATTCGAGAAATTACTTGTAACCAATTAATTTGATAATATTGTGACCGATAAATTAGTTGACATATAAAGGATTTAATTTTGTGATCGCTAAATAAATTGTGACCACTAATTTTTTTTATTTGTGACTTATAAAATTTTTGATTTGTGATTCTAAAATAATTTATAACCAATTAATTCAATAATTTGTGACTAAATTGTATAGATTTTTTATTTTATTATGTTTAATTAATAAAAGATTTATTTAATTACTTATTTCATAAATAAATTTATTTTAATAATATCTGATTTTTGAAGTTTTAAACTTTATTTCTTAGTTTTGAAATGGATCATAAGCAAACCCCAAGAGAAGAGAGATCCACAATTTTTTTTAAAAATAGCCCAATCCACCTGCCTGTCATCTTCTAAAGTTTCTAGGTTCTATCTTCCAAAGTTTCCAAGTTCTATCCTGTGCGACACCCCTTCAATCTTCTAACTTCCTTCCTGGCTCCGACGGCCACTGTTAGTAGCAGATTAGTAGGCTCTAATTGGAGGATTCCAACATACAAATTTCAACCAGCGACTTTGCACTTTCAAAATGAAATGGATCGACAAAAGCGATCAATTAAACCGTTTGGATACATGGTGCATAAATATAACATCGAGTCCTTCAATATCTGATCATTAAATGAATAAATTAGTACAGTACATAAATTATGTCTATAAACTCTTATAATTACTTTTCTACCAATTAAAAAGCAGTTTCTGGTTTGTAACTAGTTTATACAACTAATTTTACAAAACCAATCCATACAACCTACAACCAGTTCTTTCGGTATCATTGAACTACAAGTTTCCTGTATCTACTCGTAAAAATTAAAGGTGAGGAAATGAATAGCCATGTCTAACAACAAGAACAAAAGACCATCTATTGATAAATAAACAGTCCCAGTTCAGGGATCATCATTGGCTGCAGGAACCCAGACAAATCAACAGGAACTTGTCAAATAATATTGAGATGGTGAAAAAGATCTTGTCGACAATAATCTAATCACCAGACGTCCCTGAGGTACCGACCATCCATTTGGAGTTTCTTCACAATAGCCTCTGTTTTTGATGAGTCCACATTTTCCTGTAAATAAGATCAAATTACGATGAAAAAGGAGTAGAGTACAAACACAAATTAAGAGATTGCAAAGTATTTGTTTCATTATAATTGTTATATCTAAACTGCCAACTCGACATGGTAAAGACGTGCAATTCCCCTGGTCTAGCTATGAGCTTTTATGTTTTAAGAAACTCCTAGTTTTTATATTTGGACGCCCACCAAACTTCAACATCTCTACAACTATCATACTAGTTTACTGGATGAAGTCCTAGCCTTCAACAACCTGAGAATCGCTACTTCTTTCAACAATATCATGTCTCCACTATTGTTCGATACTCGACTTACCTATTAAACTGATATTTAGAAGCATAGGGGTGTCATATTAACCACAACAATTTCACATCTGGAAAAAGAAGACATAACAATTTGTCATCTTAGTTCCTATAGAAATCAAACTAGACATTTGTAACCATTTGAGGCAGCGCAAATGCAAATTTATCGACACATCAGGGCTTCCCCTCGTACTGTAAGACATTTGCAACTACGACATTGCTAGAGCCTTGTATGATCAGAAATCCATTATTATTTATGGCCAAATAACGTGTACTTTCATGTGTATGCACATGCACAAGAACGGGAGAGAGAATTTACCTGCTCTTGGACAATGGTATGCAGGGTGCGATGGACATCTCTGGCCATTCCTTTGGCATCTCCGCATACATAAAGATATCCCCCCTGGGAAATTAAACTCCATAGTTCGGCACCCTGCGTGTGAAACAATACTTCTGAAGCAGCTCAAAATAATTCACACATTGCAGATAATTTGAAAAAGAATTCATATATTGAAAAGAAACGAAATAAAAAAGGCTATATGACTATTTTCTGATATTCAATTCTTTTCTCAGGTTAAAGGAATAGAAGGGCTTTCCTCAAGTTTTCTGTTTTCTACTACAATCTGACGCCCCTTGTCGAAATTGAATATGCTAACAACAAATAATGCTTATAGATTTCATCTTAAATTTAATATGCTAAGAACAAACATAATATAAAAGGTAAACTTTGAAGCTATAGAAAGTTGGAGAGTTAAACTTTGAAGCTATAGAAAGTTGGAGCTTTTCTCCAGTTCTTTGTTCTCTATTGCCTTCTGTCCCTTTGTTGAAAACTGAATATGCCAAGAACAAAAATCTTTAACAATCTCAAATTTAACAAGCTAAGAACAAATAAATCTTATAGGTATATCCTCGTAATGGCTTTTGTAGTTATAACCAGTTTTTCCACACTTAAAACATAATTCTGAACACGCTTTGATTTTACAGTAGTTTCAAATTTCTCTTTCTGATAGAGTAAGCACATCTAAATAAAATCGTTTAGATATTTGGTTCACATTATGCAGGTTCCAAGAATTACCGTTACTTCATTTTATCACTTAAGTAAAGGTGTCGAAGGGTGACGTGTGATGATTTTCACTGTATCGCTACTATCCGTACATAATGACCATCTATGTTGCTCTGACTCTTCAAAAATGGAGAAGTATCCGTGTGGACACGACATGACACGGATACTGACACAGTATACGGGTTAGATACTTAGTCTTGCACTCAGACACGGCAACAAAAGGAGAAGACAGTGGACGACGTGGAGTGTTGTTTCTGGCTTGCATTTATGGCGGCAACAAACCCATTTATTTCAAGTCTTGTGGTAGTATTTTCCAGAAATTTATGGAGGACAGAAGCATGGCAACAGAATTTTTCAGGAAGGGGAAGATAAGAGATGGAGAAGACAATAGGTTCCTCGTTTGAGAAGACAATAGGTTTAGTCCTTTTGGGGGGGTGTTAAATGGGCTTTTGTCAAGCCCAATGAATAAGTTAATAACAGAGGAAATTAGGTGGTTTCAAAAGTCAACAATATATACTGCAACAAATTGGGAATTGTCTCTAGTCTCTACCAAGTTTTATAATTTATTGTAAGTGGCGAGAGTTATGGCGCACCTCACTACCGCCTTTTTAAATCATGGTCTCTACCAAGTTTTAAAATTTATTGTAAATGGCGAGAGTTATTGTTTTATTTAAGATCCGATTAATTTAATATTTAATTCTAAATTTTTTTGATTTAATAGTTCAAATTACACTTATCCATTTTTAGTTATTTAAATATGTTAGAAAACATATGTTATTTAATTCTAAATTTGCTTTACTTGAATCATTTTTTAGAAAACAAAAATAATAATAATAATAATAATAATAATAATAATAATAAATTGTAAGACATGTCCCTGTACCCATACCCTTATCCAAAATTCAGATCCTTTTTAATCGTATCCCCATGTCTTAATTTTAAAAATGAGAAGGAACCGAGTGCTAAATTTGTACACATCCGACACTTGCACCCGAGTCCGAGAAACATAGATGACCATAAAGGAAATCAAAATTCAAGCATAACTTCTCAACTTTCAAACGATATTGCACCTAATGACTTGCAACAACAAGAACAAACTCATACTCTGAATAAAAAGAGATCAGCTATGTTAATCCTTTTTCTCCAATTCATTCAAAGCATCTGTGCGTGCATTAGAAGAACCAATGCAATCTAAAGGTTGGCAACCACAAGATTTTAGTCTACATCTCCCTCTAAACTGTTCTAGAGAAATTGCATAACTATTGCGAAAAGAGCTCCTTTAGGTCCATACAAGACATGTCCAAACCACCTGTCACTTCTAATTTATCCTCAATTGTTGCACCTCCGGTTATTTGACTTATTTTCTCATTTTTTGTCCACCTTAAAATTGGGCAACAGGTGGAAGTCTGGAGAAACATTATGGACGGCTAGAAAAGCAATAAATAATTTGATTTCAGTGCTTGAATAATGCAAATCAACTAACGCTAATTCAGCAATGTGGCAGTTCAACACTTAACCCAGTATTCTTCCATATATAGCCCATGTTTGGTAGAGATTAAAATCAGATTTTTAGTATATTTTGATAAAAGTTGATGAAATGTGTGGTTGAAAAGTTGTGGGCATGAATGTGTGGTTAAAATTAATTGTTGACTTTGACTTGAGATTTTAATTGGATTTTAATCCAGACCAAACAGGGGCATATATAGATAATGACAGCAGCATCTCATAGCTTAACCAATCTCTGAATTACTTGTAGCTGACCTTTTCCATCATTTTGTGTTGAACATACTCTTTTTGTGGTCCCTCCCTTGAGAATGCAACAATCAACTCTGATATTACACCTTGCTCCACAAAATCTTTTAGCTCGTCTTCATAAATGAAATCCTAAATAGTAGTCAAATTGAGAAGTGAGGGCAACGGTCTTAAATTTTATATTGGTGTAGCTCCTTAGAGCGAGTAATAGATTCTCACCATACGACGATTCCTACAGCCGAAAAAGAATAAAGCAGCTCCAAGTTGGGCACCTTCTTCTTTCAAGGCCAGTCTTTCCTGTAAAATGCCTTCATTTTATATGTTTAATTTTCAAGGAAAAAAGAAAACCTATCAATTCAAATTCATCCTAATACCTGTAGGAATCCTCTAAAAGGTGCCAAGCCAGTACCAGGTCCCACCATAATGATTGGAATGGAAGGATCAGCTGGCAATTTAAAGTTAGATGGCCTGATAAAAATAGGAGCCCAGCTACAGTCACTGCTTCTCTCCAGAGGAACTGCATTCTGATTGAATTTCCACATGGCATTATGATGTTAGATGCCAATAATACATTTACAAGATGATCAAATGGAAACATTTAAGTAAAATGAAAAAAGAAAAAGAAAATACAAATACAGATATCTTTTAAGCCTTGTTTCCTACCTTCATCCAGGTTGAACACACTCCTTTGTGAATTCGGCCGGTGGGGCTCGGACCTAGAACTACAGCACAAGTCACATGAACTCGACTTGGAGCAAATCTGCACCAGATAAAAATTCCATCATTTTCATTGATCCCCTGGATTGAACTTACATCCGTTTCACATGTCAGATTGGCATCCTTTTACAATTCATTACCATCCTCACTCCCTTTGAACATTGGTAGATAACTTTTGCTGTGAGTTTTAATACTAGTTACCTGGGAGAGGAAGAAATAGAATAGTATCTCGTCTGCAAGCGAGGGGCTACTGCAGCAAAAAATACACCAAGAGGAGGTTTTGCTGAAGGAAACTCAGACAGCACCTCAAGGAGACTTCTCTGACTTCCTACCACCCATTGTGAGTACTCATCCTAAAACACAGAAAAATTGTATGTGTCAAAGAAAAGCATGAAAAAAGGAAGAAAAAGCCATAACAAAAAAACTAGCATTTTCTGGTGACTGCATGAGAATACATGAAAATAAAAAGAAAAAATGAAAGAGCTAACGTGGAGGAAGAAAAGTATAAACTAGTTCACCTTCCCCTGAGGTGATGACAAGAATTTAAGCCTTTCTGCTTCAATAGGTTCAGATGCATGAGCAGCCAATGCAACCAAAGCAGCCTGAAATGAAGGGGAGGAAGAAAATTGGAAGGGGAGCAAGACCATTAAAGGTCTTAAAACTAATGTCAAAGCAACATATCTACACTATTACACAAAATAAGCACCTTTCGAGGAGGATTCAAAAGATCTGCATAGCGTGCTAGAGCAGTACGAAGCGTGCATGGACCAGGAAAGGGAGGTGGTAATGAGCCTCCCAGGGGCGTACCATCTTCATTGTCACTGTGAACAGAAAACAGTAGATCTAAAGGCTGACCCAACAATTTTGCTGCTGCTTCCACAGTTTCATCACAATTTTCAGCATAAACACCAACATGGTCTCCAGTTTCATATCTAAAAAGGAGCAATAAGACAGAGGAAAGACAATCAGTTTAAACACAGACAGCATCCATGGAAGTAAAACACAGGGAGTATACTCAAAAGATTGCCATATATCATAAGAAAGTACCTCTGTAACACCGACACTTCAATTAGGATAGAGTGTCCACCGTAATCATTTTTCTTTATATATTAGAATATTATATATTGTTAATTCAAAGTTATTATCAAGTAACAAATAGATACTCATGTTTAAAAAATTTCAACGAAAAAAATAACAAGTATAAAACTAAATTTATACTATATAAATGAAGAATTTTTAAGAATTTAATGAACGTGTCGATAACATGTCGTGTCTGTACTTTTTTTTAAATTCATGTGTCGACGTATCCGACACGTATCGTGCCGGACACGTGTCCGTATCGGTGCATCGTAGGAAAGCACTAATAAAAACTCGTGGTAAAGCATAAGAAGCTCATATCGTAGTTTTATCATGTAAAATAATATCCATTATTATATCCTAGTGTAATTTTGGATTTGTATACAATACTTTTGAATGTCTGATGCTGGGTAACAGTTGCATCCCCCAAAGGCTGATTGCTAGTTGGTTCTGTAAATAAAGGATGATTTTGAGAAAGTATCCCATGATTGTAGAGTAGAATATTTAGGAAGTTTTTTCCTTTATTGTAGATCGACGTGGCTCATTCGAAGAGTGGTATTTTTATATCACAACAAAAATATATTCTTGATCTACTAAATGAAACTGGGATGCTATAAGCTGATTGACACTCCTATAGAACAGAATCACAGACTTGGCAATGTTAGTGAGGCAACTGTAGACCAAGGTATGTATCAAAGGCTCATTTGAAAGTAGATTTACTTATTCCATACTAGACAAGACATGGCATACTAAGAAGCACAGATTGAGTATTGTGTATGGATACGTACCCAAACTTGAATTTACTTGGACACCTCTAATATGTACTGGACGTGTTTTTTTACTTATTTTACATTTTTTGTATTTTTTAAATATTAGCTACGTAGCGAACACGCTAAGACATGTTTTATTGGTTTTAAACTTTTCAAAAACTCATTATTGAAGACAATACATGATAAAGTTTGGAGCTTCTATTTACATCTACCACTATCATAAAATTATATTACATTTTTAACCTTATTTAATTTATATAAAATTAAATAAAAATATGTCACTCTAAATTCATCAACTAATATTTATTTTCATTAAAATTCTTTTGGACTTTTTTATATTCTTTTAGAATTAATGTTTAACTAAAACTCTAATATTCATAAAATATTCTTTTCCACGAAAGCCAAAATAATAATAGAAGACACTATTAGGGTAAATACATAAAGACATATCAATATACGGAGAAGAATTTGAAAAGGCAAAGATTACCTTTTATAAAGGGTTTAATGAATTTAGTATATAAAGGATTCTTGATTTATGTTTGGGTTATTTGATAATGTACCTTTTGAATTCAAGTGGTATCAGTAAGAAATTCCATTCCGAATTATTTGAGTTTTCTGTTAAGATTATCTTTTTTATTTCTTGATTTTCTTAAATATAAAACAATTGTGGCAATGATCGAAAAATATGAAATGGATGATTGAAAGGGTTATATAGAAATTATGATGGTATAGATATATTAAAATCATGGAATAGATATATGAAAATGGTTTGGATTATAGATATATAAAAATGGCATGGATTGATATATGAAAGATTGAAGGAATTATGATAGGATAGATATATAAAATGGCGTGACATTGATGAAAATAGTAATTTTTTTTTTTTAAAGTTTAATAGGGATAAATATAGAGTGAGATAGATATATAACAGCGGTGGATGTTAGTAGCGGCTCCCTGAAGTTTTTTACGTAATAGATAACTACTGTTATTATCAATAATAACTTACTGAAAATAGAAAATATTTATTAATTAACAATTTCAAAGAAAATAAACATTTTTAAGACTGTTCACACTTATTATTGGAAGTAGATATAGTATTAAATAATTCACATTTAGAAGTTTAAATTAATTCATAACAAAAGATTCATACATTTAAAACCATGCTAATAGTTGACAACTATAGTTTGATTATTGAAAATGGATAATAATATCAAAAATATTTATATGTATACATGTATCCGCATATCCTAATTTTTTTAAAAAGCTTTTTCGACATACTTGTATCTTATCATATTCAAATTACGTATCCAAATTCATGATTCTTAGATAGTATATGGCGTGAGCATGGTAAGTCAATTTATGCATTCACCGAGAGAGTCATCTTAGAGGCATGATTTAGAATTCTTCAATAATTAAATGCACATAAAGGGCATTCTTTTTAAAAGGAGTACAAAGTTAAATTTAGAAGCAACTTGCAGGGGAGTGTTGACAAATAAATCCATAATTAGTCGGTTATAAAATGGAAAGTCAAAGGCTGATTTGCTAATTGGTTCCATAAATTAAGGCTGATTTTGAAAGAATATCCAAAGATTGTAGGATAGAAATTTTAGGAAGTCAAGTTTTCCATAGCTGTAGATTACAAACAGCTAAATAATTGTACATATTCATGATTTTATCATAAAACATTATAATCAGTTTACGAGTCTCTTCAGTATCCTTGATTAATCTGAAGGATTAAATCATATGTTAGACAATTGGAAGAGCACTCTGGAACTTAAAAAGTTTTTAGGTTGAGAAGACCCAAGACTGAATACGTTCAACGCAATTTTAGCCCCTGTTTGGCCCCCATTTTCTAAAACTCATTTTTCGTCATACATCATTTTCAACCACATTTTATGGGACCCACAACTTACATTTCATCAATTTTTATTAAAATCTACGAAAAATATGATTTTTAACTAAACCAAACACGTGATTAGTAATACTAGGAATAATGATAATAATGAAGTTTGTGTAACAAAGGATATCCCTTTAATTAAGAGGCCCGTTCTACAAAATAGTAATTGAACTTAATATTTTAATGGTAGAGTGTCGAGCAGATGTTAAAGGGCAAAATGTTCTAGGATAAACATAGTGGAAATGAGGATACTAAGATGGATATGTAGTCATGCTAAAATGCATTAGATATGATATGAAAATATACACCAAAAAGTGGGGGTGGTGCAAATTGAAAAATTAGATCAATGACAATATAAGTGGTTGGGCCTTTGTTTTGCACAGACCTAAAGAGAGCCCCATTCTTATGAATAATGGGATTTCACTAGAACAAATTAGAATAGAGAGTGAACGAGTCATTGACCAAAACTAATATGGTATGTTGTAGTTACAAGGGATATAGTTACATTATATCTTCCAATTGATTTTGTGATGACTTTAACTGCATAAAGATAAAAGATGTCTTCTTCATTGTTGCAGTAATAAATCAGGATCTTAATAACTCATCCAAATAACTTAAAGTCAGTAATCAGTATATGAAAGGAGTCTCGACTGAACCTAAACTTCCAGACTGGTAAAACTTCTTACTGGCCCTCTCTCATTGAGTGAAAAGATTCATTTACTTTTCCCATTTAACCATCGACATCATCAGTGCACCACTCAAAATGATTATTAGATCCTCAGTCACGAAGGCTTGTCTGTACACCATATATGAATGATGATAAAAACATACAAAAGCAAAAAACTTACGTTATGCCAGTGCCTGATACATCAAACTCCAGGTGTATGCAAGAGCGATCAGACTCTGGTGTGTGAAGCTCTTTTACAACAGCAACATTGACTCTTCAACAAGTAACTCGTTCAACCAGCGAAGAGACCAAAAAAAAAACGTGAAACAGAAAGAACACGCATAAGACAATATAGATACCTGCATGGATGGTGAATGTCATATGAAGCATTGCCATTAGGGATGCTTGAGTATTCATTATTATACGATGTTGCTGCAAGATCATAAGTTACTACTCTATATTCCGGAATTGCAGCAGAGTATGGGGTAGACGCAGAATGCTGGTCATCTTCACCCCTTAGAATTTGATCTAACTCAGGCCATAGTTGTTCCCGCCTAGAAAAATAAAAGTCTCCGACTTAGAGCAGCAGCTCCATATTTAATAAGATCATTAGACAAAAAGAATAAAAGAGGACACTTAGCAGAAGCAACATAGTTAGTGTAGAAAATTCAGCATAAAAAAAAATAAAAAAATTATACAGCATACCAAGCAGAAAAATCATCTTCAATGCATTGATCATCATCACCAAGACCGACTTGTACTAGACGTTTCCCCCCTGAAATTTATAAAAAGTATAAACTTCAATAATAAACGAATATGATGGGAATTATCAATAGCTTCTCCAAATTATGAAATTCACATGGCATCAACAAACAGAAGTAAAGAAGAGTATGGTGCTGAGTAACAGCCCAGCAGTAAAAAGTGTCCCTTATCTGGGCTTTACTCATCAAACTATTGCTACAGACATTTAATGATGCCAAGAATTTAAGTACTGTTGTTTTCCAATTGTCTACCGAAGTACTTCTAGAACTAAAATTGAGTGGCTATACCAAGTTGCATCGCAATTGATAAAACTGCTGTAGTGAGTGTGAACAAAAGCGTGTAGAACCACATAAGGAATTATTTCTCCAACCCAATTACAATACGATTAAATCTTAAATGTTTTACATCTTTCTATGACATCAAAAGTTTCTTAATATGAGAAAGGAATGATTATTCAGCACTTTCATTTGGATATATAGAAAGCTCATTTGTATCACACATGATATCATAAAGACCTAAAATAAAGTGTGTACATTTAATAATAGCAGCAGAGACAGATCTCTGAGAATCACTAAAGGATTTTGTTATTGCAAGCCAAAGAGGGCTATTCTAGCCCAACAAGAAAAAAGAAACGGCAAAGAAAATTGATATTTAAGCCCATCTGTTAATTGCCCTTTCAGATTCAAATTTTATCAAACAGATCATTATAGATGCTCATTTGTTTGCAGCAGCATTTTCTTGCAACGAGTTGGCTTGAAATTCATTAGCACAGGGCCATTGACACTAGACATTGAGCCAAATAAAAACCACTAATCTGAAAGAGAAAATAAAAGGAAATAAATTGTTGACGAGTAATATTAGTTTAAGTCAACAATTCTGAGAAAAGGAAATCAGAGGATAGCTGGGACAACATTCATCTATGTTTCCAAAAAAGACAAGTTAAATCACCCTCTATGCTTTATAAGAAATTATTACCAATAACATTAAGGTAGTTATTTGAGTTTAATAAAAATATGGTGAGGGATCAGGGAAACTAACAGCATAGGGAAAAAAAAAAGGAAGACCAAGAGGAAAATCATGTCACAAACAGCAATACTCTACCTACCTTGTTCGCTAAGCTGTTCATCAACTACCTTCGCTATCTGTCTCAAAAAGGAATCTGTTAGATAATCAACAAAGATGATATTGACAAATAAGCTGCAAACATGCTATTTGAGCTCCATATCCCACAAACATAGAGCTCAAGAATCAAAATATGGAGTCCATCTATCACTTCCCAAAAACATATGTAATCAACCTAAATACCTTGTTGAAATGTTCATATTGTCGGTTACCCAAACCAAATACACCATATGTAAGATGCTGAAGCCAGGGCTCTCTTTCTTTCTCCTAATAAATTCCAATGCATTAGAAAAGGCTCATGGAAGGAGCACAATCAAATAAATCTACTCTTCATACCAACCTCAGTGAACCATTTGTAAAATCTAGCAGCATTATCGGTTGGCTCTCCATCTCCGTAACTGTAGTAGTAGTCCCATGTTTTCATTATCAGTTACATGGAAATCAAGGCCACGCCTAACCACAAACAATTCTGCTACATAAAATGCAGGTAACTTGTAAAGTCAAAGTAATTTGATCTTACGTAGCCAGCATGAAAAATGCTAATGTCTCTTTCTTGAGTTTTTTCTCGTACTGATCATCATCTGCAGCATAATCATCCTACTCCAACAAAAAGTGAATTGAGACAGTAAACAATAACATTCAGGAGATGTGACTCGTGAAAAACAACACAATTGCGTCGAGTTAACATACCAAGTCAACAACTTTCACGAATGCCTTCTCATATCTAGCTTTAATTTCCTCTGCTAAAGCCTAGAAAAGGGCATCATATAAAGTTTATAACACCATGATTTACCAACTTAAACCGGAATGCATATAATTTTTAAAGCCAAGGAAAAGGCATCATAAAAACGTTAGAATACCATGATTTACCATCTTATGCCGGAATGCATAATTTTTTTCATGTATTAACCATTATAGATAGAGAGAAACCATTATACCAAGAATGAAAAAACTAACTCGTCTTGCATTTACTTGCACTTTCAAAGAACGGGTATAGATAAGTGTCAAATATGACAAGCATCCGACAAAAGACTCCCCTTTTTAGTTTCCCTGCTCAAGGCTTCCATCCATAAACAAACAAATAAATGGAAAAAATATCATCATTGGATCCACAACTGAGAGCTCGTAGCGGACACATACAATTCTGCCATCCTAACTCATCTTAAATTTACTTGCATTTTCAAAAAAGGGCTATTGATACTTGTCAATTGTAACAAGCATCCTACAATATACTCCCATTTTTTAGTTTCCCCATCTTCAAGATGTCTGTCCGTAAAAATTAAAAAATATGGACAAAATACCATCATTGGATTAACAACTGACATCATGCTCGTAGTGGACACACACAGAGGCGCCATCCCACTTTAACGACAAAATTCTCAACTTCTATATGCTTCCACGCCAGCAACAAAAACACACACACAAATGTATATAGAAAGTTCAACTGATACAAGATGCGCTTTTTATGTTACTATGTTTCAAACAGAAGGATTCCATCTAAGGGCTGTAAAAGAGAGACAGATCAACGAATTGATTCCACTCTGTAAAGTTTTAGTGAACAACTTTTCCTGAAGTTGAGTCTCAAACCAATTCGAAGGTCTCAGAACATTCATAACAGAATTCAACAATCAAAACAACAATAAAAAATTCCGAGATTGTTTCTTATACCTTTGCGAAACCCTCAGCAGTACCAGTCTGGGTACCAAAAAACACCGTGACTTTATCCTTGTCCGGGTCAACATCAAGGTCCTCGTCCTCATCCTTAAGCCGCACCGGCTTGAGAACCACGACCGCACTCGCCTCGTTACTCCGATCACTCGATCTCTTCCACATAAAAACCAAAAACCCTACGATCACCGCCACCGACGTCGTCAGCACCACCAGCACCAAATCTTCGCTCAGCTTCAGTCCCAGCATTTTCTCCATGGATCTCGCCAACTCCAGCTTCCACTGCACCATAGCTTATACGTATATGAATAGAGAGTATAGGTAGAGTAGACGTATAGGCGCCGCTGGCCGGAATGGAAAGTGTAGAGAGCAGATGGAAGAGAAGTGTGAATTATGCGGGCCGACTGCGGTGCGAGGTGGTGTGGAGCTTTAGATGTAATGACATCAGCTTTTGACCAATAGGGGCTTGTTTTTGTGTGGGCCTTAAAATGTCATTTTTAAGACAAAAAGACTAGAAAAAGAAAAAGGAAAACGAAAAGGGCCTTTTTCTCTTATTTTTGATTTCGGTTTTTGTAGGAAAATGTTGTACGAGAGAGTGAAAAGTGCATCTTTGAGTTGAAAATGTGTAGCTTCAAAAATTGATTTAATTTTCAAGTAACTTAAAATAAGTAGCTTTTTTTAATTTTCGGCAATTGAGATTATAAGACACATGGGTGTAACTTTTTTAACATCTTTTTAATTTGGACTATTAAAAATTTTCAGTTTTAAGAATTGATTTATTTGATCGTAATATTTGTAATGTTGAAAAGAGTAACGCTTTTAAAGACTGTTTGAGTCCTTTTTCTATTTTATTTTATTTTATTTTTGTCAAAATATATTTTGAAATAGTGATTTGATAGAGAATATGAAATTCAAAAAAGAAGAAAAGTTTTAAATTTGCGTGCAATATAATTCTATTGAAAAATACGTAGTTGAAAATAAGAAAAAAAATATATATTTCGAAAATTATTAGGGCCAATCAAGGCCTTAATTTTTGTAATTGAGAAGGTAAGAAATCTGCAGCTTTAAAAATTTGATTTATTTGACTGTGACTTTTTGAATTTTAAAATAGATAGCTGATTTTCATAATTGATTGAGATTATAAGAAATTTGCAGTCTTGACCGTAACTTTTTTATTTTAATAAAAAAACGAGTAACTCCATTAAATTTTGTAATTTTGAGAGAGCTCTGCAGCTTTAAGAATTAGGACGTGTTTGGTAGAGATTAAAATTGAAAAATTAGTCGTTATTATTGATTTTTATTAGACGAGTTGGACCCAATAATGGTTATATTTTCAATTTTAATTAAATTTTAAGTTCTACCAAACAAACTCTTAATTTATTTGATTGTAACTTGTTTAATGTTAAAATAAGTAACTTCTGAATTTTTATAATGGAAATGATAAGAAATCTGCAGCTTTCAGAATTAAATTTAATTGACTAACTTGTTTAATGTTAAATTAAGTAAGACTTTTAAATTTTAATATTGAGATGATAAGAAATCTGCATCTTTCAGAATTAAATTTAGTTAACTCTAACTTGTTTAAATTTAAAAAAACTCTTTAATTTCTGTAACTAACTTTCTTAATGTCAAAATGAGTAGTACTCTTCTAAATTCTGTAATGTAGATTATAAGAAATATGCAGCATTAGAAATTAATTTATCTGACGATAATTTCTTTAACGTCAAAATAAGTAACTCATTTAATTTATTTGATCTTGATTCTCAATAAAATACACATTTGAGTTTTAACTATTATATTTTTTTCTCTTCTTGTTATATTATTTTTATTTTATAACACGTTATCAGTACGGAAGGTTAATTTTTTAAAAGTTTAGTGAAAGTAGTATTTATTTATTTTTTAATTATTTATCACGTGTACCAAAATCAATTTTGTAACATTTGAATTTTTTTTCATATAATTCTGCCATAATTTGCCTAAAGAATTCGGTCCCACCACAGTCAATTCATGCTACACTCATACTTCCTTGATCCACGTAAATTTGCTTTAATTCTTTGGCCATATCATGTTTGTTCATTACATTCTCCTTTTCTTTTTAATTTGATTTTGATTCATGCATAATCAAATCATCATTTTGCCGGCGGTATACATGATTGTTAATTGGTTTGAATGTATTTGTCTGCGTGCTTGTCCTTTAATAATAATTAGTTATGCATCCAATTCACGATTGTCTGTGCTTGCGTTAATGAATTAGCGTCATTAATTTTTATTTATTTTTAACTTTTCTATTCCACTCAATTCATGTTAATGAATTCAAGTTAATTTACATGTATTTATAGATTAATATTATTATTGTAGTGTGCAATTGAACGTTTCATCTTTTTTTTAATGTTTAGCAATAAAATATCAATTATTGAATTCATTCTTAACTGTTGTTGTTCCTGAGTAGCACAACATAACTATCTGAAGAGTTAATGTTTATAAATAATAATTTGTTGTTGTTCCTAAAGTAGTACAACATTATAATTAATATTTTTAAAGAATATTACTTGCTCCTGAGCATGAATTATATTTTTTAATATTCTAGAAAAATATTGACATATTGCTCTTGAAGAAATAAGGTTATATTTGATAGGACATTATTTTCCATGGAAAATGAAAAACATATTCCAACTTCCACTTTTACTTTGTTTGATACACTTTATTTTCCATAGAAAATTTTTTTCACATTTGGCTCACATGCTCACCAATTCCTTGGTTTTGTGGAAAACCAATTCCCACTATTTTATTGGGAATTGATTTTTCATCCTTTTTTTTAAGCAATTAGAAATTTTTTTTAGATACAATGTTAAAAAAATTTATCACTTTTATTGACAATTTTCATACAAAATAAGGCCAAATGAATAGTATTCGGTATGGTAATTTTTTTTAAAAAAATTAATTTTTAATTTTTTTTGACAAGTGAAACAAATTCTAAATCCAATGGTAAAGAAAATTATCACTTTAATGGACAATTTTCATGAAAAAGAAAGCCAAACGGATATCAAACTTTCAACATTTTTCACGTAGAAAATTATACCAATCAAACATAATTAATTACAATTCCCAATAAAACAATTTCTAAGCAATTCAATTCCCTAAAATTTATTTTCTTTCCACTCATTTTCCACATTTGCAATCAAACTGACCCTAATAGTAAAATACAACGTGCTTCCGAAGTAGCACAAGTTTCAAAAAATATATTATTTTAAATTAATGTTTATCCCTGAAAGAAAATGCATAATTTATATTATGTTGATGTTGACTACTTGAAATTTAATCATATTTTTCGAAACTAATTGTATTTCCTTTTATTTTATTGTGGAGTTAATCAAATGGTAAATATCACAAAACTTGAGTTTGCTGCACTTGACATATCTGGCAAAAACTATTTTTTACGGGTACTCGATGATGATATCCATCTTGTTTCAAAAGGTTTGAGAAAGACAATAAAATACGGAAAATAAAGTTAATTAATATTCAAGAAGAATATTAATGTATCGCTCCAGAGGAGCATACAATTTGATGTTTCAATATTCTCAAAGAATATCATACTAATGTTTCTGAAAAAGCATAGATCTTTAAATACTAATAATATTTAAGATGAATTATCAAAATATTTGTTTAGTAGACAGTGCAAATATGCACCCAATTTTTCAAAATAAAATTATTTCTCAAATAATGTTAATACGATATCAGATGCATTGAATATCGTTGAAAGCTTCGTAAGAGATTGTATTATTTTGCCAAATAATACAAAATTATATATTGACGATGTACTTTATTCGAGCAAATACAGAAGAAATTTGCTTAGTTTTAAAGATATCCGCTGCAATGGATATCACATTGAGACGATTTAAAAAAATAATGTTGAATATATTTGCATAACTTCTTTTGTATCGGTCAGAAGCAAATAAAAGAAAATTTCCATGCATTCTCATCTGGCATGTATTATACATTTATAAAAATGTTGAATCAAATATTATCACAAATCAGAAGTTCAATGATTCAAAAATTTTTGTACTCTGGCATAATCGACTTAGACATCCAAGAGTTATAATGATGGGTCGAATAATAAACAATACACATGGACATCCTTTAAAGAATATAGAAGATTCTTATACCTAATGATTATCCATGTGTAGCTTGTTCGCAAGGCAAGTTAGTCACTAGACCTTCTGTTACAAAGGTCAATATTGAATCTCCAACTTTCTTGGAAAGTATTAATGGAGATATATGTGGGCCAATACACCCACCAAAGACCATTTCGATATTTTATGGTATCAAATGATTCTTCTGCAAAATGGTCACATATTTGTCTACTTTCCATTAGGAATGTAGTTTTTACTAGACAATTTGCTCAAATCATAAAATTACGAGCGCAATTCCCCGATTACTCAATCAAGACTATTCGTCTTGACAATGATGGTGAATTTTGGTCACAAGTATTCGATGATTATTGCATGTCAATTGGGATTGTTGTTGAACATTAAGTTGAGTGGACATACACAAAATGGTTTAGCGAAATCATTCATTAAACGTCTACAATTTATGACTAGATCATTACTTATGAAAACAAAACACCCAATTTCTGTTTGGAGTTATGCTATTACATGCTATGTCATTGGTTCGTATCAGACCAACAGCATATTATCAATATTCACATTTACAACTGACATTTGGTCATGAACATAATATTTCTTACCTAAGAATTTTTGGTTGTACTATTCAAGTCCCTATTTCACCCCCATAACAGACTAAAATAAGTCTCCAATGAAGACTTGGGATTTATGTGGGTTTTGATTCACCATCTATTATTATGTACTTTGAACCTTTAACAGTTGATTTATTTACTGCACGTTTTGCAGATTGTAATTTTGATAAAATGAATTTCCCAACTTTAGGAGGGAAAAAGCTATATCTTGATAAATAATGTAAAATTTCTTGGAATGAAACAACTCTATCTAACTTTGATTCCCGCATCAATCAATGTGAGCAAGAGGTTGAAAAAATCATTCATTTGCAAGGAGTTATAAATCAATTATCGATGTATTTGTTGACACAAGAAAAGAAACAAAATCATATATACCAGCAGAAAATATTCCA